CAGAAAACAAGAGAACTTCAATAACAAATGTTCAAAAAAGGAGAAAAGAGCAGGAAGGAAGGAATACTTACTGAGTACATCTCCCTTTGTGTCATATTTCATGAAAACATTTTGTGAAATGCGAAAATATTCAGCTTCCAACGGCTTAATCACAATCAGCCAACATTCATGACTGTTGTTTGTTTTGTAAGTAAGATCATGCAAGATTTACTGGACAGTTCACCATGAAACTTGATAGAAGTCAGTGTGAGTTGTGAGCAAATTACTATTACAAATGACTTATTTCGCATTGTGAGATACAGGTTTGACTTTTTCACTCATTTTCCCAAGGAATAGTAAATTAAATTAAAGAAATCTAGCTCTACAATGCCATTCTAGTTTTGTTCCTCTTTTCATGTTTCATGCATGTTACCTCCGGAGCCAATTTGATTTTGAGTTGAGTCATTAACCTTGTATTCAATAAAAAGGTGATTCGCTAAAAAACATATTTTCTTTTGCGTAGGCTCAACTATACAATAAAATGCTACTTTGTCACAACTCAATTGTCATGGCATTTCTTTTTTTTTTTCCACATGGAGCCTGCACCCAGACAGCCTGGCCTCATTTCACAGCTCAGTTACTAAAATAAATATATGTACCACTTGCCTTGAGAGTGCACTAAACGTCCTTTATTGCTCTTTAATAATTGCTTTTCAACATTATTATCTTAATGCATCCTCTTTTATGGGTTCCACAGAAATACCATTTACTGGCACTCGGGAGCAGAGTGGCAATCTTGGATTTGATGTATCTTGTCACCGATGTCCCTGCTGCGACTCTCTGCTGTTTATGAGGCCTGATTCATTGGAACGCTTTGACCATATGATATAAATAGATCTCTGTGCAGCAACTGCTCTCTTGTGTGTTATGCTCATAAGTATTATGTCCCTCGACAAAGATGTTAAAAAAGGGTATTGCCCATTATTTCAGGTGTGAACAGAATCTGCCATCTTTTAACTGACTTCGAACTCCATGCACTGAGAGATGAGAAAATAAAGACTTCTCAATGCTGCACTCCGAACTTGGCCTTGTCCTCAAGGTCACAGTGTAGCTGCGCACAGAGGCATCTCATACATAATGTATAAAATGTATAGCATTCATTGCTAATTAGCACTAACAGGAAAGGATGCCCCCTGATTTCCCCTGATTTCAGTCTAATTTGCATAAATATAATGGGGCACGAGAGAGTGTAAAGCCCAATGTCTGTCACCCCCCCGGGGGAGGGAGGTGGAGAGGTGTTGCTGGGATCTGGTGCACAAGTGATAATTGTTAGAGAGCTGTTATTCTGTCACCCAGACCATAATGTAGAGTGTGAAGAGAACAAAGAGACAAACAAATGCACCGTAAAAGTAGATTTATAAAAATGTTTAGATTAATTAGTGGATGTTACAGAGCACGAGGAACATTTACCCGTTTATTCAAGTTTGACAGATGGAGATTTTTCATTGAATTTAATGAGGATGGAGCGAATAAATGCATGTTTTCGATAGATGCAAAAGCAGCACAAGATGAATGACACAGAGATGTGGACAGATTGAGATCAGACACCAGGGATTCATCTTTCTGTATAAATGTAAAAAAGGCTTTAATGGTCTCTTTAACAGTTAAACTGAGAATCAAATAAAGAGGGCTGAATATCGGTGATTGGGGAATGGAGGGGTGGGTTGTGGTTTGGCGGAACAGCGGTCCATTATTCAAAGGGGTGGGGGCCTTAAGTGCCAAATTAATTTGTTTTTTCTTTCCAGTTGGACGGATGAATAAATGGGCCGCTGTCAGTTGTGCAGTAAAGTGGCATGCATTCATTTAGACAAGTGTTAGCGCCGCACTGGAGCAACATGGTTTGAGCGAATCAGGCCAGGCTGGTGGGTGGAAGCTGTGTAATTATCTCTGGCTCCTATGATGGCAATGATTGGTGAAACAGCCGAGTGGTCCCCGAGCACAGCAGGTGTGAGTGGCAGACCGCAGGTTGGTGCAGGGCCTGTCTGTGGATTTGAATGCACATGTGCAGTTGTGACTGAACAGACATATGCAGAGGTTTCATTTCTTATCAAGACATTGTCACACTGGTAGTTTTTACTTGGACAAATCACATTTCCTTCCATTCTCTTGTATTAAAAGGAAATGGCTTGAGTTTGATTTATTGCAGGGTGGTTAATTTAGCCATGAAAATCTAAAGTCTCCTGAGGGATTCAAACACCATAAATCACACTGTGGTCGTGTCCTAACACTTCATGTCTGGCCTGTGTGACTTAGACCTCGACCTGTTTTTTTCAGTATTTCCTCTTTTTGTCTGAGGGCCACAGTAGAAATAAGCCTTTGGCCTTTATTGTATTTTTAACCTCTGTAATTTTAATATACGTAATGATTGCAGTGCAGTGTTGTGTGCTTTTAATCATCACATAAATCCAATAACTCCACCGTGTTTTGCTTCACTGTACAACGATCCTGTAAACATTAGTGTTGACAGAGACGTCATGGTACTGATTAAAACAGGCCTGAGCAGATGTCTCCATTTTTTTTCTCCTGTAAAATACCTCCATTGCTGCTGAGCAACTCTGACAACGTGCAAATGCAGAAACACAGACATCTGCTGCGTTTCAAAGCACCAGTGTCTGTGCTTTGAAACAGCAATTGCTGCACACAGCGATGAATACTAATGTCGCCGGACCACATTTATCTGTCTGGTATTCAAAAGATCTAAATGCTTCGCTTATTCTCTGTGATACAGAGGAAACTTTGAAACGTGCAGGACCTTCAGCAGTGAATATGACAGATGTTTGTAGAGAGATATGGTTTTTATTGATGCTCTCTCATAGCTCAGACTGACAGAGATATTGCAACTGGTTCATTTTCTCTTTCCTGTATCAATATCTGTTTGAGCTGCAGGGGTTCAACAGAAACATGTAATAACTTTTACAGAAAAGTAATTTTAACTTGCAATCTTAAGATGGAATGCAAAATATATTGGCTACATAAAATGAACAAAATAGGGGTGTTTTCCTCCTCTGTTGTGCAAAAAAACTCACCTGTGCAATGAGAGTTTTATTTCTACCATGTTACTTCAGCCTGACAGAATCAGAAGATCTGCTTCTCCTCTCACTGCTGTGTGCAAGGACACTCTTCGCGATGATCAACACTTACTCAGCCGACTAATGAGGTGGATTCATGCGGGGCAAAGGGGTGGGATGAACGTCTTTGTTAGACAGGCCTGCAGCCCCCTTCTCTCCAGCTTGCTCCCGGGGGAGGCCTCACAGACTGCCTAATTGAATCAAGTACACATGGTGCCTCCCCCTTCACTGCTCGGCCCCTCCCCATACAAGAGGAGCGAGGAGGAGAGCTGCAGCTTTGATGCCTTTGTTCTCCTCAGAACCATGGACAGCACCAGGGGGTTACGCTGCAACGCTGCAACTAGTTGCCTTCTGCTGGATGGAGAGCCCCATCATAGCTGCAGTGCTCTGACAGTCGCTGTCTCTGAAGCTGCTCTCATCACACTCCTGTGCTGAGGCTGAAGACTGGTGTGTTGTACTCTACAACACCATAAATTACTTATCTTTAGACTGGGGCATCTGGCGCACTCTAAAGATCGAAACATTCAATAGTCCATTTAATCTGTATTTGATAGAAGACAGAGTAATATCCCAGACAGAGTATGATTCATGTGTCAGTGTGCAGGTGGTGTCTGACAAGCAGAACAAACAAACGTGAAGAAGACAAAGACAGGACAGTGTGACTGTGCATAACTTAGTGCCTCATATTTCCTCTGTGACTGCCTCTATCTTTTTCTCAAACACGCCCGGACACAGTCCACACATCTCTGCCGCTCCTCGCAGCTCAGCTCCCTCATTTCAGACAGACCGGAGATTGGGACTGTGCTTCAAGGAAAAGTCTGTTTACGAGATGACCTCCAGTTACCACATTAATAAAGGATCCGTTTGTGAGCCAGGATTCAATCTGCAGCATTCAGAGGAGCAGAGTCTGTCTCTGAGCAGCATGTAGCCTCATCCTGTCGCTGATGTGATTCCTGTAAATGTCATGTAGTCAGTTTATTTACATGCACATCTCTGTGCTACTTTTAAACTTGGATCTTGTACGAATGTTTCAACATACTTTTTAATGCTATAAATTATTAGTGCAATGATACAAGTGTTCAAAGAATAAAATTAATTACATTCTTATACTATACCCTGTCAGATATGTAGTATAAATTATTTTCTACTTTCTAGAGAGGTCTCCTATGAATTTGAACTGTTGCTTATCTAAATAGTATGAACTCCTCAACCTTCTTCCATCAGTGATTAATTAAATTAATCTCTCTGAACTATGTGAAATTATAATCAAGAGAAAAAAACAATGACTCAACTATAATCAAGTAAACAATCTGCAGATTTATGACAATAGACAGTTCAAATATCTGCATATGAATGAGACTCATAAGTATTTTTGTGGGACTCCCTCTGCAGCCAATAACTGAATCATTACACACTGCCATTAAAGCACTGCTGCAATATACTTGGGCCAGATATGTCTAAGAGGCTAAAATGTAATTGTGGGGAACAGCTGGATTAGTCCGGGCGAAGTATATCCGCTCCTAATGACATTAGATGGGAGTCTGGAGAATTTACCTTCCAGCACACAGTGCTCATTCTGACGAACCAGAGGGAAACTGGACTGAGATCATTTCAAAACGGACATGGGCATGATGCAGGCTACTGTTCTGAAATGTCCGGTCACATATACTGTGACTCTGTCATTTCAACCGAATCAAGGATATATAACAACTTATAATATGGAATTTAACTTTCTTAATAAATTTAATATTTCCACAATATCACTATGTAAAATATTGATATCATTAATTTCTGTTGTAATGCATTAGCTGGGTGATGCTATTCAAACAAGAGTGCAGGTGGTTTAAAGAAATGTTGTAGTCACCGTCCCATTCATCCCTTCTGTTGAGACAGACCCAGACCAAGAGGAGGGGTCCTTTACTCATCCCTCTCAGACAAGAGCACCACGCCCAGCTGCCATCTCGGTAAGTCCTCCTACCAGACTCTCTGGGCTGTTGTATGTGATGTCTTCACTGTATCTGCTGAATGTGACAGCTGCAGCAACCCTGCTTCTCACATATAGTATGAGCAAACTAAGATTATTCTGTTTGATTAATGGATTCCTGGTGCAGATATTACTACATGTATTCTTCTTGATATTGGAGTTATATGGTTTAAAGTACATATTGATTGCAAATCTACATGGGCTTTCAAAAGTCTTTGACGGAGACTGATCAATAATTGCTCTGAGTACAAATTTCAAATTCATCAGGCCTCCTTATGTGGTATTGATTTTGTGCAATGGCCGCCCTTAAAAGAATCGGATTACTTTTTTCCTCCAACAGTCAGAACAAACAGCTGATAGCAGCATTCAGGCAGATCTGTCGGGCATAAACACTTCCACTCTGTGGTTTTGCTTTATTTGACTGAAAGGTGTAGATATAATTTTATGATATTTATCTCCTTATGGCTGAAGTGACTCTAAACTCAGTCAGCATCATATCACAATTCTCATGCATCTGATTGTCAAACTGGTTCTTCGAGCATCATCACTACTCCGATTGTTTCAGCAGTAACACTGAGCATGAGTGAAATCCTCTGGGTCTTTTTTTTTTATTGGCAGGGCTGTGGTACTCCCTGCAGGCAGGACCCCAGGTTCAGATGCAGCATAATATATGCAGTTCTACTCCAGCAGAGCTGCAGCATACAGTAATTTCCAACCCCCCCCCCCTCCGCCGCCGGCCACTGCTGTGGTTTGAGAGTATTGCAGACAGAAGGGAAAGGATGCATAGTAGTGGTCCTGAATAGTAATAGCTGTATGGGTCCTTTCCACAAAGTGCAGCTGTGCAGTGTGAGGATCCCATCACTGAGAGGGTCCCCTGTATCTCTGGCTCAGAGGGTATTGGGATCAGCCCAACCTCTGAATAAACACTGTTGTATAACTTGTTTTGACCAAACTTGGCTGTAATTCCTACTTGTATCCTTATCTTGCCAAAAAGGAACATGCCTATGCACACTCATCCCAAGTAAAGACTTCCAGGAAGAAACACACACACACACACACACACACACACACAGACACACAATAGGGGGATGATAGAGCACGCTAAATACACTTTAAGTTAGGGTTTTGGGAAAAGGAAACATGCAGGTGCACACGTCGGCACTGGCAACAAGACTCAGATCGAGGAATATATACTGATGCAGATGTTGGAATAAACGGATCCTGCTGAACTGCACTTGTGCCTCTGTGTACCAACAAGCTGATCAGCTCACAGGAAGGGAAATGGGACCACAGTGACATCTAGTGGCTTTGTTTTGTCACAATGAGCTGTCTTGTGGATTGAGATCGGAAAAAAAGAAACACACAAAGGAAGGAAGAAAGTGTGGTAATCCAAAACACACATCAGTCTGCATTACATGTGACATTTGTTTTAAAATAATTCATATTATTTGAGCTTCTTGAAATTAAACTATTCAATCTTTTCTAATGTAAAATCTCTTGTTGTTATGATAATGGCTCCAACCTTGACTATCTCTCTTCTTTTTTTCTTTCACTGTTGTGATTTTCCATCTTGGTGTTGTGTCTGAGCTGGAATGTAGACACTGTGATTACCCCCCCCCCTATTATTTAATTTGTCCCAGAAATGGAAGACATGCTGTAACTAATGTAATCAAGAGGGACACCAGGAGACACAGTCCAGTATACATATAAGTCTTGGATTGAAATGTAGGTAAAAGTGATGAGACACACGCTGGCCTTGACAGACAAAAGCGGGGGGGGGGGGCTTTGGAGCAGAGCAGGGAGGAGGAATCATGAACGTGGGCGGTTCAGTCTGACTCCAAATTCAAGAGCTGAGAGCGTTAGAGACCTTGAACACTGAGGGTCATCAGAAGCCGAGGCTCTGACAGCTGGAGGAACATGTCTTTATTGTAGCTATCACATGGAGAAAACAAGAAAACCTCTTTAGAAAACACTTAATCAGTGTTTGTCATAAAAGATCTGGCACAAAGGAGCCATTTATGTCAATTTACAGTTTTACTTACCTCACAGAACTGTAATGACTGAACTCTGCAGGCTGCACTTCATGAGTCTACATTCACCAGACAGCGGAGTCATTAAAACCGCAGTTACAGGGTTTATTTACGGCTAATTCCTTAGTTGTTTACCTCATCCTGCTGTTGCTTTGTGATAAGGGCGGAGTGGGGATAGTGGGGAGCTCCTCGGCTCCTGCGCGGCGCTCAGGTCGGGCTCGGCTGCTCTGTTTGAAGTGCCATGTGAAGGCCTGTATCTACACCCAGCAGCTGGAGCAGAACAGATTTAGAGCCATTCTGTTATTTCCACCTCAGCTAAATGTGTAACCTGCACAATCACCTCTGAATACAGATGTGTTGCTGCTGCCGCTGCTGCACAATGAAGCCGTTCGAACGTTGTCAGCTATTGTCTGACTTGCCTTCTGTCAGCTCTAATGGCCTGTATCATGTGTCCATCTCTGCAGGACTGTCCATAATGAAACCCTGCTGAATAGCCCGACCTGGTCATTGAAGATATGAGCATTGTTCTGCACAAAAACGTTCAAGGGGTTAACTTCTCTATTCCGTGTTTTTATCTGATTTTACAAATGTGAATGATGCACCCAGACTGAAAGAATCTCGCCCTGTGCCTTCACTCCCGTGGGTCGATATGAGGCTAATGTAAGTCTTTAACCCTCTGATGGACCCTGGGCTGATGCCATTAATTCCTCTCTACACATGATAAATGGTCTCTTCCAAGGTTGGATAGAGGCTGATGAATGCATAGCAAACAGCCATCTTCTCCACAGCAATGTACACTGGATTTGATATAATTTATATGGTCATCATTTGGATCCATTGACCCCTTTTTTCCATGGCCGTTGTTCCTCTGACATAATCTCTCTTACTGGAATAATCAGAACGCGGGCCGTTGGCTTTCACACACAAAATGTCATCTGACATCATCTGGAGGGAGGTGTGGTGGAAGTTGGCGTTTCCCTCCCAGCTCACTAATTACAGCAGTTGACTGTGTGTGACCTCAGGCCTGTGTTTTCTGGAAGGGGTGTGTGTGCGTGTGTGTGTGGGTGTGTGGGTGCAGCTTCCTGGGTGTTGACATCATTGCATCAATTGTCTGCCCTCTGATGTAAATTCAATCCAGTGACAGCCTGGCCAAAACAGCAATGATGCATTAGACTACAGGCTCGCCAACTACTCTCTCATCAATCTCCATGCCCTTTCCACAGCCTCAGGGCGTGCCGATCATTTTAAATGTTTTATTCATTTAGATTTGTTTGTTGACTTGTTGTGTTGTTGTTATAGCTGAATTTCAACACTATCTGCTACACCCACTGAAAAGTTTGTTGTTTAAGTTTTTTTCAGACACATGACAAAACTCTCCACCTTTCCCTCTCGAGGGGGGAGTCCCCCTGGATACAGGCAACATTAGCGTTTTGATGTTTTCTCTGAAATGTTCGACGGTATGCTGGCTTTGGTAAATGTCAACTGATGTGTTAGTCATTAAGCTCTGGTTGTATAGCATTTTGGAAAGGTCATGTGGAGCCAGCGGTGGAAAAGCAGTCACTGATACTCGCTGATACTCACTGGCGTGAATACCGTAGCTTGCTGTTAGCATCACAGGGCAGGTTTGGAAGGCTTCATTGTCCCCAGAGGCTACATCGTACTTCAGTCATTGAACTCACAGAAAAACACTGCAAACAACAATCATTTCATTGACTTGGGTGTTGTTTTCCTTTAAAGATTAAATTCTTGCATTTTACTCACATACTCAACTAATATTTCTTGAATATTTCTGCCCTGTAATGACTAGCGACCAGTCCAGGGTTTAGCCGCGCTCTCACCCAATTTCAACTGGGATTGTATGGATAGTTGGATGGATGGTTGGATGGATGGTTGGATGGATGGATGGATGGATGGATGGAGGGAAGGATAGATGGATGAATGGATGCATGGACGGACATGAAGTAGATTATAGCTGCACCTCAAACAGCTATCACAGTGTTGTGTTATGCACTGTATTTAAAATCATATACTTTTCTGCAATGTATTTATAAATATTTCAATATATAATCTAAGATCTGTGCTTTTCTGATTTTGGACTTTGATGTTGGACTTTTTCTTGTAGTGAAGTATTTTTATATCATGGGAATTTTACGTGAAGGATCTGAAAATAATTCTTACACCATACATTTTTGTAACCTCTAATATTGACTTAAATTAGATTCTACTAAGAGGTCTGCGAAAATCTATGTAACTTTATGCTTTGTTCTTTCCAGGGATCAGGGAGATTTATATGATAATTATATGGGTATTTTTTTTTTTTACCAATTTAGTTAGAGGAAGCTCTCAATTTGTTTATGAGCAGAGGGAGTAAATATTATTATATCATATGTGTGTCACAACTAAATAATATATTCAAGAGATTCAAACAATTCAATAATCCTCAATATCCCTGTCCAATAATCTTAATAGTTTCTGTGTAAAGTCTGAAGGTTATATTGCAGCTTTATCTTAACTGCCCCGCTGTTGTTACTGATCTGTGTGTTTGCACTCACGACCTCACCATTCATTATCCTCAGGGCCGACCCTGCTTTTAACGTTTGTGTGCCATTCGTTTATGAAGTGTTGTGGTTTCATGGCAGTGTAACCGTAATTGACAGATGTTGATTTACTGATAATCCTTGGCTTTGCTCTCGGTGTGGACCTCGGAGGGAGTGGTCGACACTGGCTCTGTGCCTCACACGTCCTTGAGTCAAAGCTGCTTGTTGCCCTTGACACTCTCTCTCTCTTCCTTCCTCCTCTCTCTCTCTATCGCCATATTTTAAAATCCTTTATACCAACAGTTCACTTACGACTCACTGCAGATGTGATTTTATTCTGCTGACAGAGCGCAGATGTGATTACACACTGAGCAAAATATATTTGTTCTCAAGGGAGCCCAGTGATTATAATGTCTTATGCCAAAGGACACATTTTTGTCACGACTGGTCCAAACAACAATTATCTTAAACTCAATTTGATATATATAAATGTTATTGAATCTTGAGCATGTTGCAATGCAATTATTACCAATTCGACCGAATTAGAATTAGAATGGCAAATTTCCCACGTCCAGCATCTTTAATGTAGGTTTTAATTGTTTGGTGCTTGAGAATCATGTAGATCAGATGAGTGTAGTCGCCCCCATGCATAGATTTAAATCCAGTTGATTTATTTAAAATACAGACTAAATGTAATCCATGTAATTAATAAGTACATAAATGAATAAAAGGTTATTCTAGTATGTACAACTGCAGTGTTACATTACCCTCTGTGATTTTAAATGTTTGTTATCTGATATTTTTCATTATTCTTGTAATTTTTAAGTCATGAACTCTGCTGATAGTGAGTACTTGTTCTTAGGTTTCTCTTAGAAAAGGCACCAAAAGTTCCAACGACACTGTCTGATTAAATAAGGATAAGGATGAAATACATATTAAATTTTTTACGATTTTTTTTTCTGAATATCAATATTAATGAGTGGGCTTATCAAAAATAAAACCAACTGTATTTACTTCTGTATAAATGTTGAACACTTGTTATCCTGCAAGGTGACCAATGCCCTCTGGTTATAGAAGTAGGAATGATTCATTCAATTATTGCTTCTCTCATCTAATCCAATTATTGCTTAACTAAGACCATACAACCCACACTGCTTTGCTAAATTCCTGGTGTGACTAAGAAACCATCTACCTCTGTATCCTCCTTTCTGGGTTTTTTTCTTTCAGCTTCAGTTGCCATCAGTTCTCAAACATCCCTTTTAGTCCAGTGTCCATTAGCACAGTACAAGTATTTCCGCTCGGCTTGTCATGAGTAGATGGGCTGAAGAGACAGAAAAGACGGGAAGGATGCTGAGGTCAAATGTGGGAAAAAACAGGAAAAGTACTGACGTCTGGGTCAGATGAAGGATTGAAGCAAAAAAAAAAAGAATAAGATAAAGTGGGGGACAGAAAAGATAGAATATGTGGAGGGGGGGCAGGGGCATAGAGAAAGCTCCTGGGAGCCACCTTGCTCTGGCAGCCTAATTGAAGCTCTGTGTGGCAGGAGGCTCAGAGCTGTCACTCCAATGAAGAGGCCATTTGCTGCGTTTTGCAGGCTGTGTGCTGAATCCTGATGATGTTACCTCGAGCCCAGGCCACAGACCTAGACCACAGCTGACACACACACACACACACACACACACACACACACACACACACACACACCCCTCCTCTCCTGTACAGGGATACTTGCAACACACGTCCCAGGCCCCTCCCCAGCTCTTCACAGATTACATGTAACAGGGTCAGAGCTATTCTGAACACGAGCCGCAACCAAAGCACAACATGTGAATATGAATGATCGTGTTCTTTGGATTCTGTAAATGTATCAGCCAGTTTCATACATGTTAATGAGATATTAGTCTCTGCGGGAAGTGTTTTCACTTGTACAGGTTCTCCCTTGTTGGATTACATGAGAATATGTCTTCTAGCAGAGCACATAGCTGCAAGCACCCAGTGAATTATTCATCATGAATTAAAGCAGTCAGCTATGAAAATATTTATCCAAAAATTGAATAGAGAAGGTTTTTTAAATGATTTAAACGATTTTTTAAAAGCAGGCACATGTTCATTAATAGGTAATTTGTTATGAGTATGATAAATTGAATTCCCTGTTAAGTTTGGATAAGAACATACATGTATTGGCACAGTCCAAATGTGACATGTACATGTTTGATCAAAGGGCTTTTTAAGCATATCTGTTTTCCTGTGTCCAATAGAATATATCACCTGAAACTACTGAGATTTAAACTGTAACACTCACTCTCAAATTTTTACTGAAGAGTATTCACATCATTGTTTGCATCGTTTCCATTAGAGGCAGATTTAGGGATTGAAAAGTGAGTATTCTTGGCAAATCAGTGTTTACATCACTGATGACTCTTTCTGGCTGCCCCCACTTTTATCATTAAGTCTCAGTCAGATTCGGTTCCATCAACAATTGTCAACCTCCACCACTAATGAGCAACCTAACCAGTGAGAGATATTGATCTATTGATGGTTTTCACATTTGAATATAAAGATGTGAACATAAACACTTTCAGCAAGTTAAGCTTCACTGTGTTCACATTTCATTCACAATAGGCACAAAAAGCACACACACCTACCCGATTATTTATCTGCTTTAAGCTCAGTGGTTCAGAAGTTGTCACTGTCCAAAAAGCTTGTAGAGCTAAAAGTTAATTTATCTTAAGACGAAAAAGAAACACTTATTCTTTTTTTTTTCAGAAAAGGACATGTTTCATAGACATGACGTTTTCACATGAAAGCATTAATGAGTTGACACATTAGACCCTAAGGTGGGAATAGATACTCAGTGGGAGCCACAGGTGCTGCTCAGCATGTCATTTAAAAAATCATTATTACTCCTCACCAATCTGCTTATCCAGGCTGAGACAGGGTCAACCTCCCATAATTCCATTGATTGTTGTAACATGCTGCTTTCAGCCATATATATAAGGCCTGATTATATTTTGTCTTGGTAAATGAGGCAAAAGTACTCAGATCTTTTACTATAAAGTCTTACTTTATGAAGCAGTACCACAGAGTATTAAAACCTAAATACACCTTAGGCAGCAAATGTAATAACATTTTGCACTTTGGTGTTTACTCTCAAGTTTTTCAGGTTATGGAAAAGTTCAAAGATGCAGTGATTCTGTAAGAGGAGCTTACGGCCTTTGTTGGAGCCTTTAAATAGAATGTATACATATTACACACAGTTAAACACACATATATTGTAAAATATACAATTTAACTATACAAGTACAAGTATCTCAAAAATGAGCTTAAACCAAACACATACTTATTTTCCATCACTGCAGCCTGTACATCAACTCTTGAATGTGAAACATGATTCTGTGTTTGATACACGACACAAATCTTCCTCATGGGTCTGAAAATGTTGCTATGGCTTTTGTTGTGGTTACAGGTTGATTGTTGTACCTTGATGTCAGAGCTCCATCGTCCACACCCTCAAATCAGTGTGGTGTTCATTCCCCTAACGAGGACGCTGACATTTTCTGTTGGATGAAGGCCTCAAAAAAGACGAAATCTCTGAGCAGCCATGCAGCTGCAGTGAAGGTAGGCTCTGACTGTGTGGAGGTATTTGTATTAGAACGAGAGCCTGTGGGAAGATAATAGATAATGACTCTGTTCCACATCGTTTCTTTGTCTCCGTGCTACCTGGCAACCATGACCACTGACAGTGTACATTGTATATGCAAGGCTCATACTTCAAGGACTATTGACTAAGAGCTCTCTTGATATAAAGTGCGTACTGTGTGCATAGCAACGTAACAACCTTTATATCCCGGAGATGAAGAGGAGGAACAGGCCACACAGAAACACAGTGATGTAATGTGAGGTCAGAGCTACAGCATTTTTGGATAAAAGCTTTAATATTCTGTAAAAACAGGGCTGGTATGTTTAATGTTACCATAGAACATTAGGGAGATTGCTGAACAATTTGCTTCTCTGACACATTGCTTGTGTTGTATCTGTTGTGTATTTAACTTGTGTTTACGTGAAACCATGAATCCTGAGAGACTAATATTGGATTTGGGAAGGATAGAGCAACAAATATAAAAGTGCATAGACTTTATTTACATAGCCCAATTTTTGACAAAGTTATACAGTGCTTAATCGTAAGAAAAACATTTATAAAAAGAACTGAAATTAAAACAAGACAAAGATGACAATTTAGTAAAACAGTGGAGAATAAAAGTAAGTTGACTCACCTAGTATGGATGCTCCACATAAGGAGGCTTAACTCCTTTGTGGGTTTCTCACTGTCCTATCACCAAAATAAAGGTGCCCATAAACAAATAAATCCTTCAAGAAAGATAATAAAACAAAACGTCACACATTCTTAAAAGCTTTCAGACAGAAACTGTTTTATGAAGAGATTAAAAAGATGCTAAAGATTATCTAATCTGAGTTTGACTGTTCAACAGCAAAGTCTGGTTACCCAGAGTCACCATCAATGATCAAACCACAGATATAAGGCTTTCTAAAGTATTTTGTGTTTATGTCAAACAGAGGCCATGTGTCATTTATTGTTTAAACCCATGTTAACAAGCAATTTTCATTAAATATCAGTATCGAGATTTTGAGTGGATAAAGAGGCTCTCCATGCAAGAAACCAAAAAGAACATTGGGGTTAAAATATTCCAGAAAGCTTTTGAAGACATTATTTCCTTTGCAGCCTCAGAAGGATGGATATCATCTCCCATCTCATGATGCCTTGGCACAGATCCTTCCTGGTTACCGGAGCCTCTGCAACGTAGCGAAGGCCGAGCTCCAAAATGCAACCCATCAGCAGCAGGAGAGAGAAACTACACAGGCCAACAAACCCAAGATAAACCAAACATATCAAGTTCATCATCCACATAAACGGTGAGAAAGACCATGTGAGAAACAGTCTTTGTATAAATGGACACATTTTACTTTAGTGAGTCACTTCTAATAAATGTGTCCCTGCTTCAGACCCCCACTGCATGATTTTGAGGGTGATCCCATCATGGCAGAGATCAACAACCTCCAAACTAAGGTGAATGGATATAATCAATACATAAACTCAACAATCAATCAGTGAGGCAATCCACACTGTCAGGTTTAGTTAGTGAACAGGGAAATGAAAACCCCTGTGAGATGAGGCACTATACTGACACGGTATACTGGGACACAAAATGACAGCTCATGGATCACATAAACATTTCACAGAGGGATTGAAGGGTAATGTTGATGATGCTTATACGTCTGCTAAAGTCTAAGAGTGTTACTCTAAATATTGTGGCATTTTCTCCTGTTGCTGTGAGCTTTTCTTCATAATATTTATTTTAGGATGACAGTCTTGCAGTGTTCAGCACTGTGGCCTCACAGCAAGTGAGTTCCTGGTCCTAATCTCCATTTGAGGGTATTTGCATGTTCACCCTGTGTTTGTAAGGGGTTTTCTCTGTGTGCTCTGGCTTCCTCCCACAGTCCAAACACATGCAGATTGTAGTTGGGTTAATTTAAACTCTAAAATTGGCCATGAGGTAATGGTTGTTTGTCTTTAAGTATTGGCTCTGTGATTCGCTGGTGACCTGTCAGGGGTGCGACGCACCTCTCGCCCAAAATCAACTGGGATTGGCTTCAGCTCCCCTTGGATGGATGGAGAAACGATACTGTTCAGTTCTGAGGATTAAATAATCTGGGTTATAACTGCATGCATGCATGCATAATACCACTGCATGTGCATGATAGCAATGATAACAGATTCCAAAATGAAACTTCATTCTTCAGTGCAGCCTCAGTTTGTTACTCTTGGAGTGACAGTGTGTACGACAGCAAATTATTTTTAAGTCCTCAGACCTTAGAGAGCAGAGTGTTCACGAGCTGAAACATAGACTCCTTTCTTTATTTTTGACACATGTATTTTCCAGACTCATCACAGAGAGCCTTCTATCCCATCATGCCGGTGGGGACCACCACCCCCCCCCCCAAAAAAAAGAGACACCATCTCATCTACAGTCATGATTGTCACCTCCCGCCTGCCCTTTCAATTAGATGCTCGATTTCACCATTGTGTCCCGTGGGAGTAACAACCGCACCGTCCTTAGATTGGAATCCCCTGATATATACCCCCACACACCCCATGTCATGCAGCTGCAGGACCCTGCTCTCAATTCAGTTCTGTCTATTCAACTGGATGGAGGAGCATGTGAACAATGCCGACATACAGCAGGCACATACCTTACACAGAGAGACGCCTTGATAACCGCGCTCTGCAACAGTGTGATTTCTAAAAGAACAAAACACCTCTGGATAAATAGTAAAGATTTGATGATTTACGAATAATGTTCAGAGCAAAATCAAAGTCCCACACTGTGTACAAAGGTTATTTCCATACAAGAGGGCAAAGAAAAGAAAAAGAAAAAGAAGAAAATAAATATTATATAATAATAATAATATTTTAGAAATCTCTAGGTTTTTTGCAACATAGTACAGTAAAAGAATCTCACTTTGTGCGTATACATCCCCTCCCACCCTTTATGAAGACTGTTTGCACTTTGTTTAGACTGCCTATGTTGTTTATACATATTGTACAATGTGTGATGATGACTGAATCAGATAAAAATCTTTCTTTTCAAATATAGGCACCAAGAATGTGGAACGTAAGCAAATAAAGTGTACATTTTTTCCTGAAATTCTCTCAGGACTTTGGAATTTCCTGCTACAGTTCGGCAAATGGGCTTTCACAGTAGGACGCTATCTGAATGCAGCACCCAGATTTATGTAAAATCCTCAGTTAAAGCTCCTTCACAGGAGAGGGAGTTATTGTCCCTCTGGATTTGAGGAGCTGCTGTCTGAACACATCGCATCTCACCCTCAGACAATTGATTTACACTTCATGGTTTAATAATCTATACATCACATTTGTTAATTCTTATGTTATGTGCTTATCCGAAACCAGAAGAAATCATTGATTTATTGAGAACCATGATGAACTGTACATATGATATGTGTTTGTCTCTGAGATGTTTTTAAACCCTCTCAGTGCACAGACATGTCTTGTCGGCTACATAGCAGGACTTGACTTAAAGATGGAGCAGAAGAGACATCTAGAGGTGGAGACCTTGTACAACAACGAAACCAAACTGTGTTTAGAGTTTCAAGGCATTGGTCCAGTTTGATTCTTGAAAATTGTAGAAACAAAATAGATAAGATTTGATTATAAATTACCTCAAGGTTTTCCACTGGGGAAAAGGGGAAACTGAAGGGGATTTGCATGAAATGGGAATTTAAAACAAGCATCAACAAGTATTCCCCTTTGAGCAATTAGTGTGAGACTGAGCGGCAATAATTCTCCATCAGGAGTTAGAGAACTATCGCTCTGCCGTGAGTAGGATGGCAGAAGACATCATAGCACTGAGGACACAGGTGGTGACGTTGGAGACAGAAAACAGTCGGCTCCGCACTGATCTGTCTCTGCACCAGGACGTTGGCCGAGATCTGCTGGATGACTCAGACATCGCCGTCATGACCAAAGCTGAGATCGCTGACCGTATAGGTGAGCCACAACAGAACATGTAGGTAATTACTCAACAATGTAGGTTCCATCCATTACTATTCCATCCAAAAGCAATGATTTTGTTTCTGCTCTTCGATAGTTGAGATCTAATTTATAAAAATGGTCAGATTCAAAAATATCTAAGAAAGTTATATAGTTTTCTTCCCAGCCAGCGTTGCTAAAGCATCCCTCTGTGTTGTTATGGTTTTGGTATTTGGCATTTCATTGGAAGATGAAGTAATGATGTGGAAGCTGGCCCACTTTCTGTTTGCTAATCCTTGTGAGTGTCTCTTCCCTGCATGCAGACTGTGCCATTTTGTGATAAGGCAGCTCATTTAGGCCATAGACCCTGATAAGCTCCGCGGGTATGCACCCCTTATCTCCTGAAGGACATTTTGCGACCATCAGTGAAAACGACGCTCCTGAAGGTTTCTCTGCCTTCATCCGAGCAAAGGGACATCATTTAAGTCCGTTCCAGAGGGAAAATCTATTCGATTTCAAAGGACAATCAATGTTTTGGTTATTTATCATTCAAATGCCCAAGCCTCAAACTTAACTAGTTCATCATTCAAAAAAACTGTTTATACTGTTCATACATCAAACGTTAACTCTCATCTTAGATTTGTCAATGTATTTTTCTCAAGTTAACAAAAATCGGAAAACGAGTTCATTGAATCGGCACAAATCAGACGTAAGTGTATCTTCACACAGATTAATGCTTCAGAGTACGATTTGTCCTGCTGTTCTTTTTGAAGCTTCTCTGAAATTCAAGCTGGCCAGTGAGACCAGTAAAGGGGCGACACAGAGGGACAGAATCCACCAGCTACAGAAAGAGCTGATCAAGGTTAGAAGATACAACAAACACTCATAATACAAATTCAATGAAAACTATTTGTGCTAAGTAAGTTTCCGCCTTCCCCTTTTTTCTTTATGTGTTTTGCAGAAGAATGACAGAGAGAAGGAGCTGATGAAACTCACCAGAGGTCACAACCAGCAGGAGGAGCCACAGCATCAGAGTCACGTGACAAAGATGGCCACTTTGGAGACAACAGGAAAAAAACAGGAAAAGGTGAATAGTGAGCAACACTGTCTCTACTGCAATTATTAATACTCATATAGTATTTTTCAATGTGGAACACTTCTGTCTGTATAAATGTTTTTTGTGCTATCCCAATTATCCAGGTCATTAAGAAGAAGGAGGAAGCATTAGAGAATAAACTCAGGGAGAAGAACAGACAAAGTCTTGACAAGGGAATGTTGTTGGAAAAGCAAAGAGATGAGTGTAAAGGTGGAAACATACACTCACAGAGCACCTTTTCATTTCATGTTCAGGGGACTGATATTTATGAGTGTGTGCAATTTGGTGCAGAGCCAAATAAAAATCTGGATCTAGTGAATTTAAATGCACTTTACTCAAATAATGACGATTCAATGTTTTTTTGAAGCATGTGTACAGTTGGTGTATATTCACACTTGTGACATCTCTCTGTGCTGTAGGTTCGACTGACTGCAGAACAGAAGAGGTGGAGTCAGTCCTGGCAGGTGAAAACTCTCGTCTACATGAAGAGCTGCACAGGATTCGCCGGCAGACATTCGCCGTCATTCAACAGGAGTCAGCACAGGTACGACCACACTGGAGCCAGAGTTCAAACACAGGACTGACTTCAGCCCAGCTTCAACACTTCATGTCCAATAGAATATATGACAATATCCAAATTTTGTCTTATATCTTATATATGTATATCATTTATCCCTCAGGATAAAGAGGCACTACCACTCAAGGAGAGACTGAGTTTACTAAATAAATTGGAGAAGGCCGAAGCAAGAGTCCAAACTCTGGAGGCGCAGGTAAAAAGTGAGATACCGTTGAAATGAATTATTAGTTGATCACCAATCACTTTTTTATTAATGGTTTATTGCATGTTCCACCTTTTGTTTTGCATCTGTCACAGCTGGAGGAGAACTCTAAAGTGTGGGGGAAACAGAAACAGGAAATCTTGACCAAACTTAATGAGCACAGGCACGGCTTCATCCGAACATCATCCACCACAATCCTTCATAATGTTTCTCCAGTCAGTTGAGTGCAGTCACACCTTCATTTTACTCATTTGCATTTTACAAGGAATTTAACATGGAATTATTTCCACCACTGTTTTCAACTGCTTACAGATAACTGTATCAGATTCTTACATCAGCAAAGCACACAGGAACCTGAAAAACAACCGGTAAATGAAATATAGGATGAAGGAATGGGCTAAGAAATTGAAATAATAATAAAATTATTAATGTGGAATAAATTACTTTTTATAATAAATATGGTTTGTGAATTTTTTATTCATTTGTGTGATCACACGTGAACTATAGGTACATGTCAGTACATTGTACTGAAATTCACAGATTACACATTTCAATTACTAAGTAATGTAAGTAGAAGACATATAATTGCTTCATTCAACAGTTATCAAATTACTGAGGTAATTCGCTCATGCAAGTTTTTGCTGTTTTCTTTCCTAATGCTTAATTCTTGCATTTTGTCAACATATCAAGTTGAGCGATTGTATTCAGTATTTATATTATAGTGTATTATAAGGCCTTCACTATCAGTTGTGATAAAGATTTACAAAAATGGACCTGACTTTATCACGCTCCAAAATGTTCTTCCAAATACAGTGTTACCGACTCGTTTGCAGTGGTTTCAAAGTCAAAAAAATAGGCTTCTCTGGTAAGAGAATGAGCTCGAAGGTACTCTGCACATCCACGTGCCGCTGTTTCTCCACTCTGAAGTTCTCCAGCATCTGCAACAAAATAACGCACACGGTTAATATGACGTGCAACAAAATAGTGTGAAACTGCTCTTTATTCTGCGTCTCACATGGATTAGGAAGAGTTGCATCTCTGTCTCTGCTATTCTGCGTCCCAAACATTGACGGGGGCCAAAGCCAAAGCCAAGGTTTCTGAAGTAGCGCATCTCCGTCCTCAGCCAGCGGGACGGCTGATACTGCTCTGGACGAAAAAACACCTTGGGGTCTCTTCCCATTGCATAAAGTCCCAACTGAACTAAAGTCTGAACACAAACCAAAAAAGGACGACTATAAAACATGAAATCCAGGGAAAACATGAGAAAAACATAAAAATATTATTTCTGATCCCCACTGTCTCTTACCCCGGCTGGAATGTGATAGTTTTGAATGATGACATCTTCTGCTATGTATCTTTGCAAGCTCACTGCCACTGGGTGTAACCTGAGGTATGAAAGAGAAAGTTTTATATTTCGAGGTATTATTACAAATGTTAAATATTTATCCACTATCTTATTAGTGTGTCACATATTCAGTTAGTTGTAACATATGATGCAGTTGTATTGTATCAAAGTCTTCTAATGCACCTTAAATCCACTGGCCTCTATCTCTGCAGTATCATTGTTTGCAGTGTTGTGCAACTATGTCAGTCACCTCAGTGTTTCCTTCAGAGCTCCTTTAATCAGGGGAATCTGCTTCAGCATCTGCAGCAAGTCTCCCTGGCTTTCAGCCCGAGCTGCGGCCACCTCCACCCTCAGCTCCTCCTGGAGGCTGGGGTGCCTGGCCAGTTCGTACAACGTCCACAGCAGCGTTATAGAAGTCTGAAACCAAAGACAGGGTTTAGTGGTCTTAAAAATCTGAAGTCACATTCTGGGAAGCTTCTTACCGTATCTACTCCTCCTGCCATCAGCTCGGTGATGCTGGCCTTGATGTCCTCAATGGAGAGCTTGTCCAGCATTAGAAGGGTGGCTAGGACCCCTGGGTATTTCTTCTGATTTCCAGTCTCCTGTCTCGACTGCCTGTAGATGTTTTGAATGCATCGGTCCGCTGAGACAACAAAACGATGTAATTAAAATGAGAAAATTGTGGTTTTCAAATGACTAGACTAAAAACACTATGACATCAGAACTAGGATATGAATGTTTATCCCGATTGTCCTCAGAGTCTGACCTTGGTTGAAGATCCCGTCCCAAGCCTCCACGTGGTCCCGCCACACCTTGGCTCCAACCAGTTTCAGTAGACGGGGGGGGATGTACAGCATGGGTGAGGTAGTCTTGAACATGAGTGTGATACAATCAATGAAATGTTGAGCTTCAGGGTCAATGTAGTCCAGCATCAAACCCAGACGCTCGCCGTACAGCACAGAGCTTACCGCTGTGTGTGAGAGTGAGAAATGATGTGAGGAGAAAGAAAATGGCAGCAGATATACATAAACATCAAGAGAGATGAAAAAAAAACAATCTTACATTCGAGTGCAAATTTAAAGAGATCCTGAGAGAGGTCGGTTGTCCATTTGTTTTGGCCACTTCGCTTTATCTTCTTGTGAACTCTGGCCACAAAATCCTGCCCCACTTCATCCAGCAAAGGTACAAAGTTTTCAATTATTTTGGGGGAGATCACCTCCTTGTTAAGAACCACTCGGTTTGATCTCCAGTCTTCTCCATTCCTGTGAAAAGACATGGACGTTAAGTTAAAACTAGCTGGGACAGCATTTAATAAAACATGTGTCAAAATATCAAAAAAGCAGAAATTATACACTTACAAGTGAATAATGATGAGACAACATACTTGAGTAAAACTCCATATTTGCGGTTCCTGTGGTCTCTGTAGGCAGTCCACGCTTCAACTTTCAGCCTTTTTGGATAATGGCCCTCAGCTTTGAAGAGGATGGCAGCGTCCTCAGGATTGATGATATTTACACTTTCATAATAACCTATTTTTTCTCTGACATACACAAAGAGAAAAGAAAGGAGGGAAATGGCATGGCAGCTGCTTGTTTTGTGAAAATGTGACCTTGTCAGGTCTTCATCAATAAAAATTGGTGTATTCGAACTAGGAAACTTGCATACACTCGACACTTGATTTATAGTTTCTTACTAATGGCAGAGAGTTATTGATACAAACTGCTTTCCATACCTGTAGATGGGTCCAAACTTGTTGAAGTTGTGCACCATAATGCGGTGAATGTTTCTGAAGCCGTCTTGTTTCCAGAAATTGTACAAGTTGGCCACTCCATTCTTCCACAGGCCAGGAATCTCCCCGAAAGGCCTGACGACGCTGCAGCTCTCTGAGAATGCCTGTTTGACCTCTGGTGCATTGCTGCTGCAGCGCAGGCCTAATGTTGCCTGACCTTCTCTGCAGGACAGGGGCAGCATCACAGGTCTGCGCCACACACTCCATCTGGCCATCCTCCCAACAGAAAAGCTCACTCTGCTCTACCTTCAGCAGCTACTCTGGCTCTCCCAGGGACATAGGCTGTACTAGGAGGAGGCTGGTCTAAATACTCACACACCCCCTTGCTTCTCTGATCAAGGCTCTTGTTGTGGGCAAATAAAAATCCCTGCAGGTCCAATTCTGATGCTGCCTCTGATGTGTTTTAATTACTGTGGAGACTCACAACAAGGCAAGTGTCCATAGGTAAGTGGACTGTCCAGTATTTAACCTTTGTGGGGCCGTACATGTGTTGACAGTCATTATGATAAACACAAACGGGTGTACCATTGGTCCTCTGAATCAAGGTGTGAATATTGATTCCTGTAAGTTGTAGACCCACCTTGCTATTGTGTGAGTGAGGTTATTGGAGTCGGTATTTTCTAGGTTTACAAACATGGCTTCTTTCACTTCTCTTTCAGCCCATTTGTCTTCTCTGGTAGTAACACATACATTACCAGTGCAATCTGTTTGTGTAGTGGTTGTTTTGTTTCTCTTGGTGCAGAGGTCTGAGACATCCTATAATAATAATAATAAACTTTATTTATATAGCACTTTTTAAAAACAGAGTTTGCAAAGTACTTTGACAGCAAACCAAGAAAAGTAAATGTAAGAGAAATAACAATCAGCAGGATGCAATGAGGTGACAAGGAGGCCAGACAACCACATTTAAGAAACAAGTTAGTGTTCAAAGCTATGAGCTATGTGAACGAAGTAATATGACACTAAAAATGGAGTAAAAGAAAAGGTGAAAAGAAAACAATAAAAACATAACATCATATGAAAGCAATTCTATAAAAAGGATTTCAAGAAGTCATTTTAAAAGAAGTCATTAGTAATCTAGTTTGTTTTTCACGCCATTCTGACAAAACTCTTGTGTCTGCTGTGGGGTGATTGGATGATTGCATGATGCAGCAGACTCTTGAAAACTCTTATCTACCTGAGGAGCTGGACAGGATGTGAAGGCAGCCATTCCTTGCCATCACACAGGTACAACCACACATAGGAGCCACAATTCAAACACGGTAATATCAAAGTGGTGTACAACTTTTATCACAGTAAAGGGATTAGAAGTGATTTACTCAACATCAAGACTCCAAACATCATCCCCAGTAGAATATATGACAATATCCAAATGTTGTCTTATATACGTATACTGTGTACCCATCAGGCAAAAGAATGAGAGACAGAGTTCATTAAAATAAACTGGAGAAGGCTGAGGCAAGGGTCCAAACAATGGAAGCTCAGATAAAGAGAAGATACCTGTTTCTGATCATTGTTTCTTTCGTGGTTTGTGCTTCACCTTTTGTCTGCACCCATTGCAGCCAAAGGAGATTCAGTGTGTTGTAGACAAACACGGAATGTTGATGCAACTCAATGAGCACAGGCATGTCGTAGTCCTATCATCATCAACCACAGTCCGTCAAGTCGAGTGCAGTTACTCTTTTGTTTTACCTGTTGTGCAAAAGATACTGTATTTAACATGGAATTATTTCCCCCATTGTTTTCTACGGCTTTCAGGTGACAATCAGAAGGCGGGAACCTGAGAAATGACCAGTAAATGAAATATTGGACAAAGAAATTGAAATGTGTGTAATTTTCTTTGTTTTATTCTTTTGTGTAAGACCCACAGGTCAATGACCTGAAACCTGCTATTATTCTGTTAAAACTGAAAAAGCTTCATGGATGAATGATGAAAAGAATGATAACTAAAACAATCTACTTCTTCACTCTCCTGTCGTTTCCTGCGTAACAGAATCCAAAACATCACAATATGTCTGTGTATTGTTGAGATGTTATACTGACCTTACATTTAGTAACAGCTCATCTCTCTCAGTAGTCTCAGTACTGAGACTCAGTATTGAGACTACTGAGACCAATCCAACTAAATATTTTTCTGAAGACCTTCAAAAATGTGTTGTTTCTGTAAACAAGCGTTTGCTTTGATTTGTGAAAGAAGACAAGGCCGCCACAGAAATTCAGTTTATAACAAATATAATCAGTGCACACATGAAAACCCTATATTAACAATTAAAATTAAAGATTTAATGAATACATGCAAGTTTTGCTAAGAACTCTGATTCTTCAGTAGATTTATGAGTTCCTCCAGCTTCATGGCTGTTGTAATGTCTCCCTGGATTTTAAGTCTGCCGCTGGTGTATGCAGCAAATGGTCGGAGTTCGCCGTGGAACATGGCCAGAAGGTCTCTGTCGCTCATACTCAATGTCACGTCTGGCTCTCGGCACAAGGACCCTGCTCCAACTGCACCACTGCCTGCAGAGTACACACACAGAGTAACAGAGATATTTGATTCTGTAAATAGAATTTTTGTTGCTTGACACATTTACCTGACATGGCTTGCATTCAATTACAGGATTTGTCACAATATAAATTATTGCTGCTTATTTACAACCACATATGAACCATTACCTTGGCTTAAATCCACAAAGTAACTGTGTTGGTGTCCATCTCGCGAGCTGATGTCAAACTGGAAACAGGCCCCAACTTTGCAAACCAAATTTTCAGAAAGCAGGAGCTTTACCTGGCTAAGCAGGTCTTCAACACAACTAGGAGTGGACACAGCAGCCTTAGGAACACTGCTGAGCTCATCTGTAAATGTTATGCAGTCTTCTGAGGAGGTAAATTCATAGGTTTATTATACACCATCATCACAATGGGCACATGTTATATAAAAGCAGTTTATATAAAGTCTTATGTTCTAGGGCCAAACCTTGTTGAGGATGTGAACTCCCAGTGCGGCTCAGAAAGTGCATGGCCAACTGCTGGATGGGTCCAGTGAGGCCTTCCAGTCCAGGCACAGATGGAGGCATGATGAGGGATCCAGAGGGGTTTTCTTCAGGGGCTTTCAGGAGAGAGCCTATTGTAAGCTCTACCCTGTCCACCTCCAACCCCCAGGGCTGAGTCATCTCATTAATGTCCATCTGCAGACACCAAGAAAGGATTAAAGTCTGAGCTGAATCAGTGAAAAGCCAGCGTTGAGTAGCTTTGATGTCGTCTCACCCCAAGATATTCTCCCAGTTTAACCCTCTCAGTTTGGATCTCTCGCACAGTCTTCTTGCCCAGGCTGTGGGTCAGAGCGTTGTGTGCCGTCATCCTGGTCGAGGCATTCAGGTCCTGGACTGATACGACTGACAGGACAGGGTTCCAGATCCTGAACTGGATGTCTGCTCCCACTGACAACAAACCATCGTCTTGAGTGGTAACCTGCAAAAGCAGAATGACATTTGTATCAAAATGAGTTTACTTTGAGCTAATACTTTTAACATTTGCCACAATTTATGGAAGAAATTGACAAAACAATAATCACTGTGTAATACCAAATAAATTGTGTCCCAACAAAGTGCTCAGAAGGAAAATCTTACCATCATCAAAAAAAGTGACATGAGCTTCCCAGCATGGGAAGTGTTTCATTGATTGAGCTGTTCTAGTGATATATTCTAAATGTTGCCTTAAAACTAGCATTTGCATTCACTTGCATTGACGACTGGAAGGTTAAGCAAAGTGACGATGAGAAAAAAATGACACAAGACTAAAAACATAACAGTCTGCTCATAAAAAAGGTTTAATTGAAGTACTGACACATGAGTTACTGGCAGCATGATGTTACAACTTGAAGTATCACACACTTATCAGTTATCTTAGCATCTGATTACTCCCTTCCCCTTTATACTGAACAACAGTGTACCCACACTGCCATCTGTAGGACAAAGTAAAAAATACACAACCAACAGAAATAAACATGTAAGTTGAATCAACATGTAGCTTTTATTTCACCTGTTTGGTTTTTTTAGGAACAAGTCATTTTGTCTGATTTCAACAAATTGTCGAATCACAGCAGCTGACTATTGATGAATGGAGTTTGGTGGTTTACCTGGCAAGGAGGGATGTTGAAAGCACGGGTACGCAGGTCAACTTTCTGCCACTGGTCAATGAGAGGCAGCACGAGGACGATACCAGGGCCCTTCGGAGGACAAACTCGCCCCAGACGAAACACTACTATCCTCTGGTAGTTAGACACCGTCTGCAGACAAAATCAGTAGCAGATAATTGGTTGGCGATTGGACATGCTGTGCAGTGACTGATGAGGGGATCATTTCAGCTTACTTTCAGTACAAACCATCCTGTGATAGGGAAAGTTACAAAGGTGCAGATGTAGATGAGAAAGATGACAACCATGTTGCAAGTCCAGGACAGCCATCCTTGAGAGGAATCTTAAAGAGAAGAAACAAACAATCAATCTAAAGTTGTCATTCAGGTTATTTTCAGTAAACCAGTAGTGGAGACAAATAAAAAATAGTTGTAAAATGCTATCTGTTGCTTTGAGGGCCTTGAGAAAAATTACTCAAATGATTGATATACTATTTATACATCAATAGCAAATACTTAAGTGATCTTGATTTGGAGAGTACAACATTTTACTTAGTTTGAGAATATTAGTAATAATATTAAGTACAATTAATGAAAGAAATGTGAAAACACAAACAAATACACATACTCAACGTATTCACAGTACACACATAAATAACAATACATTGGATAAATACTATGTAAATGTATATTATTAGAATTTTATTATTTCTCGATTCTTTTTTTAAACATACATATATATATTGTATATAAACATAGACATGTATATTTAATAAATAATATCCAGTGTATTATATTATAATCTATTTTGTCAACGTCACGTGGTTGCACAAAAATAGTGGAAACATGTACTGTTCATCATAAATGGTGAAACGATGTTATTCAGAGAGGGGAGGGGGACGCTGTAGTGATCTGGTTACTTGAGGTCGGGTGTGTTTGACATCCATCACAGTTCAATAACATGTTGCAGTTACCGGTGAAGTCGTTTCCAGACACATCGGGGATGTAGTCGTAGGACAGTCCTCTGTGGGAGCTGCGCTGCGTGTCTCTGTGCACGAACAGACCCGGAGTCCTCACTGAGTCTCTCTGGGGCAGCGGCTCGTACCGACCGAACATCGTTGCTTCAGCCTCACGCTGTTTCTAAGGTTGAGTCACTTCATACTGTTCACCCGCAGGAAATGACTGGTTACGGACGCTTTAGCTCGTTAGGCTAAACTAAGCTAAGCTACCGGGAAGTTGTTCCGTGTTTTGTTGCAGCTCTTCTTCTCGTTGTTTACCGACTCATCAGTACATCCGCTCACTACCATCGCCTGCTGGTCGTGTAGTCAACTGCAGTTTCCAGTTCAGGACGCAGCAGAGCTTAAAGGGATAGTTCCCCCCAAAATGATATTCACTCATTATTTACTCACCACTATGCTGATGGAGAAAAGGGGGATAAAGTGTTTGAGTCCACAAAACAGTTGTAGAGTCTCAGAGGTAAACAGTGTTGCAGCAGAATTCAATACCCCTCAATACCCCCCTCCACTGCCATAGTGGTGAGTAGATAATGAGTGAATTTTCATTTTTTGGTGAAATATCCCTTTAAAGTTTCCAATTTCATGCATTTTCCTGTCAAATTTACTTCCATTGTCAGAATGACATTCAGGATAACTGAGATCTCATTGCTGGATAAACTATGCATCTGTGTGTTTCTAATAATGCAAACATATCTTTGTAAGGTCTGTAATTACATTTCATTCTTATATA